GCAATCATCCTAAGCTGAAAAAATGCTGATTTGACAACTGTTTATTTGTTTGTCAAATTTAAGTGCCGGGTCAAAAATAACTCCCAGATTTCTTGCATGAGAACCTACGGTGTTAGTTATAGGAGCCAAGGTCTTTGAGAGGGTATTTGCAAAATCCGGACGTCCAAAAACTAACACTTCAGTCTTAGAGTCATTTAATTGAAGGAAGTTATCCGCCATCCAACTTTTAAAGGCCAAAGGAAGAAGATAGAGAGAAAACAAAAGAGGGCCTAAAATGGATCCCTGTGGGATACCCCATTTACATGCAGCAGAAGAGGAAGTGATGTTATCAATTTCTACAGAAATTGTTCTCCCTTCAAGATAGGACACAAACCAGTTTAAAGTTATTCCCCTGATACCTACATACTGCTCAAGACGTTTCAGCAAAATAGAGTGATCGATAGTGTCGAAGGCTGCACTTAAGTCCAAGAGAACCAAAACGACATATTTTCCAGAGTCAACAGCCAGTAACAGATCATTTAACACTTTTAAAAGAGCAGATTCTGTGCTGTACTGAGCTCTGAACCCAGACTGAAACTTGTCTAATATATCATTATTCTTTAGAAAGGAAGAAAGTTGATGAAAAACAACCTTCTCCAGTACCTTCGAGAGAAAAGGAAGCTTAGAAATAGGACGATAATTAGTTAAGTCCAGAGGATCTTGAGTAGCCTTTTTAAGCACAGGCTGTATCACTGTGTGTTTAAAACATGATGGGACACAGCCACTAATAAGACTACTGTTAATTATAGACTGGATGCATGGGCCAATAGTGTCCAGTACTTCTACAATAAAAAATGAGGGAATCGGATCCAACGAACAAGATGCAGGTTTCATATGACAGATAATATCTATTAGGTCGGATAGAGACACAGGTTCAAAGCTAGTTAAAGTAGCTAAATTACAGTGATCAGCAAATGAGGCATTTCCAGAATTTGTGATATTAGAGCGAATATTTTGAATCTTAGTAATAAAAAACTCTAAAAACTCATTGCAAACTGCAAGAGACGCCTCTGGAAATGTAGTAGCAATAGGTTTTAAAACCTTATTAATAGTACTAAATAAAACTTTTGGTCTACCAGCATTGCTATTAATCAAATTGGGAAAATATGTTGATCTAGCAGTCTTAACAAATGTCTGATAAGTCCTCAGACAGTCTCTGAAAATTTCATAGGATACTTGCAATTTATTTTGTTTCCATTTTCTCTTTGCTTGCCTGCATTTTTGTCTTAAAACTCTAGTTTCACTATTTAGCCAAGGCTGATTTCTTATTTTGGGGTATTTCAGCTTAGAGGGAGCAATAGAATCCAAGATACTAACACAGGTAGAATTAAAATAAGAAATTAACTCTTCAGGGCTCATATCAGAAGAAGATGATTTAAAAGAAATAGCAAATTGAGAAGAAAAGGCTTCCGAAAATCGTACATACATTTGGGGTAAAAGGGTGGATGTAATAACCAGGAGGGTATTGTTTCACAGGGTGGGATAAAAAAGTATTAAACCGTATTGGCTTGTGGTCAGAAAAAGAACAATCTTCAATCTGAACAATTTGTAATGGGAATCCATAAGACAATATCGGAGTCGTCACATGTGGTTGCCGCAAGCCCGCCGGCCGCTACTTTGTCGAATCCACCGGCCGCGCCGTTCTCAAGCCCGCCAGCCGCCGCTCACTCAAGCGTGTGTGACGCTGTGTGTTTCGTTGTGAAAGCGAAACTACTTTGTTTGGCCTTCCAGAGGACACGAATAGAAATCAGTGGTTAAGTTGTATTTACAACATTGTTCCAGAACAATTCAACCCAAATATTCAGATGTGTGTAGCACATTTTATGGAGGACTGTTTACTGATCCTGGAAGAGTTGACTACAATGCCGGCTGTTCTGACTCAAAGACTGTAAGCGAGTTTTGAGCAGTGTAGAGTAGCGCTTGTTGTTTGTCATTTCATTTCATGTCACAAATGCAGACATGGTTTTATGTTTACGCAGCGATAAGTCATTATAATCCATAATTATGTCCCCACCGGATGCAACAAATGCCTCGTTTATAATGGGTTTTAATGTTTTTGTCTCGTCGCTCCGGTCCCCTTTAAATTTATCTGGCTACTTTTTCTTTTGTTAGTGACTGGCTATAGAATGTTTTTGCATTCTTTGCAAGGAAGAGCTGTATTTTTTCACAGATTCAGAATTGTAAACATTTCATTGAGAGACAAAGCCTTTTAAATGGATGTTGGAAAACTAGAACTTCTTTGAAACCTCTGGCCAAAACATCTACCACACTTATCACACACAGCCCCTCCCATCCTCCTCTGGACACCATCCTTTTGGATCCTGTCTGTGGTCAGCCACTTTCAGGATATTACTCCCTTTCTCCCTGATTACAGAGAGAGAGAAGACACTAGCTGCTTTCAGAAGCCTCAGTGGAATACGGATTTAAACAAATGGGTTTTAGACATTTCCAGGTTAGGTTTTTATGGAAGTGGTATTGTTCTGAAAGGACCTGCAAAGTAAACAACAGCCACTTCAGTTCAGGTCTGGAAATGTTGTTTTTGTTTCCATTATAACTACAAAGCCTTGTAGAAAGTTTGGATCCATGATACGTGCATGCTTGCTCCTGGAGCACTGGAGACTTAGCCTTTTTGGGTTTGGGAGGTGGAAATTATAGGTAAATCAGTGTGCAGCTAAAGATATGTAGGTACTAAAACAGATCCTGGAACAAAGTTGTCAGCAGTTAATGTTCTCTCAGTGTTCCTGCACTCAAAAAAAATATTTCCTCTCAGAGCAGAAGTTTAAAAAGAGAGGGGAAAAAATGCTCAAACCAAATCCAGGAAATGGGAACAAGAACGAAGCAACAGACGTCTTGGAAAACAAGTTGTGAGACCAAATGGTCATAGAAGCCCACTACATGGCCTGCTTAAATTGCACAGCAATGTAAACAGAACAAGCAAGGCTGTGTGTTTAAGAAAGCACTCAAAAGAGAGACCTGAATGATTCAAGAGGGGAGAGAGAAGTTGAAGATATTTTTTTTTCTGAGGCACCCTGTAAGAAAAAACTATGAAGTAAATATCTGTGTAGCCTTTTGAAATCACTCTTTCTCACTCCCAAGGTGTCCAGTTCTGCTATTTGTCAAGAGTCCTGTATATTCACTTATGCCATTTTTGCAGATGGCTAAAGCGCCCTTTAGATTCTTTAGTGCAACAGACAGTAAGCCGACTGCTTTCAGTTAGAGAGTCTACCCCAAGTAGAGTCATTTCTGAATCAGAGTGCCTTTGTCATGCATGAGTTCTGATCCACCCCATGAAATATTGTCTGTGACCTGAAGGTATAGACTCAAGCCTCTGTAGATACTCGAGAACCAAGTCTCTATGTTTATTAACTCCTCCTGCACTAGAATCAGGCAAGCATTAAAGGGGTCATATGACGTTGCTAAAAAAGAACATTATTTTGTGTTGGTGTAATGAAATGTGTTTATGTGGTTTAACGTTCAAAAACATATTATTTTCCACATACTGTACATTATTGTTTCTCCTATATGCCCCGCCTTTCTGAAACGCGTCGATTTTTACAAAGCTCATCGGTCTGAAAAGCAAGGTGTGCTCTGATAGGCCAGATATCTAGTGCGTTGTAATTGGCCAAATACCTCAAGCGTGTGACGGAAATGTTACACCCCTTACCAAACTGTGATGCCGTGTCCCGGTGCGACGAGACAAAAACAATAAAACCCATTACAAACGAAGCATTTGTAGCATCCAGTGGGGACATAATTACTGATTATAATGACTTATACGGTCTTTTTACTCGTTGCCTTGCATCGCGCCGCGTAAAGATAAAACCATGTCTGCATTTGTGATCGGAGAAACGACAAACAACTAGCACTGCTCTACACTGCTCAAAACTCATGTTTGAATAGTCAGTGGCAAATCCTTTAAATATGAAAACGTACTTACAGGCTGTAAGTCAGCATTATTTGTCAGAACACCGGCATTCCGTAAAATGCGCTGCACACGTCTGAATATTTGGTTTGAACTGTTCTGGAACAGTGTTGTAAATACAACTTAACCACTGATTTCTAGTTGTGTCCTCTTTTGAAACGCCAAACAAAGTAATTGTGTGTGTGTGTCTGGCCATCTTTCCATGGTGTTTTCATGGTGTTTGATGGCCCAAGACAATGGGATAGGTTCTAGCATCCTCGTGGGCCAACAAGTAGTTTGGAAAATGGAGGGATGGGATGGATTTCTCAGCTTGTCACAGTGCATTCTTTGATTGTCTTATTAATGAAGGATACATATTTAGTAATGCACTAAACGTATGGGACAGCTAGAACAGCCAATGCTGCACAAGGAAAACATTTGCAAATGTTTCATCTCTTCATCTTCTTGCAATGTCTTCATTTTTGGCAATGCAATCAAAGTTTAAAAGTTTAACAACCCCCTTTGGTTGTGGTTGTGGTTCTATTTTTCTCAAACTCACGTAATCTATTCTGCCTAATTGATACATTGTGATTATGCAATCTATTAAAAAAATATAATTTTATTTATTTTACTCTATTTATTTGATTCATCATGAAGCACGTCTTACTTATTTGCTGGCGATTTCAACCAAACATTGAATCAGGATTACATTCAAATTGGCAGTATAATGGATACCCAAGATCAGATTTTTAAAAAACTGGTCATTGTATTACTTGATGTCTTTTGCATGTCAGTTTGGCACAGAGTAAGCACTTTCGACAACAATGATTTGCAAACAGCACACCAGTTGTTTGTATGTAAGGTTGCAGAGTGCACGCCCTTCACAAACATGTATCTCTTTCCTGTTTGGATTACTGTGTCATCACATTCGCATTTTGCCTGCTGGACCCTCAAGGAAGTCTTTAAGTTCAGCCAAAAATGCTCCAAATCTCCATAAACTCTCATGAGTGCATTCTGAGGGATGAAACCGTTTTCAATCAAAACCACAGAAATCGGAGACATGGAGAAACATTTCAGCAAATGCACAAACTCAGAGGTCACCCTGGCCATAGTGAGATTTACACTCAGAAAATGGGCTTCTCGAGTAAAGGCAGCCAAACCCCACCTTAGTTCAACATTTGAGAAGACATGAAAGCAAAATTTGCTCTCCAGAATCTGCAACACACTTCTCAAAAGGAGAACTGTACCTTGTATCAATGTGTAGTTTGGAGTCATAGAAAGGCCGCTCATAAGAAATAATCATATCCAGATATAGCCATAGAACCAGAGTCAACATTTCCACCATCGCTAACACCCACATTTGTTGATATTCTGTTTTGTTAACTCGTTGATATGTAATTTCATTAGCTAGCCAATATGAACATTAAAAGTTATATAATGTTTATAATTTTAAATAACAGTGTCAGTGCAGAATCTCTGTCTGCTCCAGTCAATTTTGTAGTATCAGGTTCCCACAAATGTATGATGCAATGCATAACTGCATGCAATAAAATGCACCAAAATATTATACAGTTTTGTATGTGCACAAAACCTCAGATACATACAGATAATTTTGTCTGTAATTGTGCACAAAACAAGCTGATTTATTTGCATTTGTAATAATATATGCACATAGGTTTTTTACATTTTACAATTTACACATTTTTATTTGTTTTACGTGATGGTCATTCACAAAAATGTATTTAATCTATTTACACACTCACAGTAAGGGTGTCAGACCAAGTCTCAAAGGATCATCAGTCTCTCTGTAAGTTTAAACTTTCACATAATAAATACTTGCACACAAACACGTCAAAGAGTAAAGACCATGCCTTCTCATGAATAATATCAAGAGGCAATTGATTTCAAACCCCTCAAAAAGAAAATAGTTCACATCACATCAAATACATAAAAATCATATAAATGAATTCCACCGATGCTGGTTGTGTGCTGAAAAATAAAACTAAGGTTTCTGAACAAAGCTAAACAAATGATTCTAGACTTTTAGGTTTGGGTTTCATCTCTAAACTGTGTTTGACCCATACTGGGAATTTGCTGGCCAAAATCATGTTTATTATTGTTACCTCCTCTATTGCTTCTTTGATAGTACAAATATTGAAACACAGTAGGAGCAGTTCACTACTGTTCTAACCTTAAGCCAAGTATGCCCGTTCTCTCTATCACTTTTTATTTGTTCCGGAGATGGAAATTAGAGCATTGTAATAACCTTCTTTAGCTGGTCAGCAGGGCCGGATTTACGCATAAGCATTCTAGGCACGTGTCTATGTTTGCTTGTCCAGGGGGGCCCAAACACAGTAAAGAGATATATATTTTTGTTATACTATGGGCTATCTACAACAGTAAAAGAACCAAAACCCAAGAAGACATTGAGCAAATAAATATAACAAACAATAGGGTAAAAAATGACAAACTATTTCCATGTCTTCCAGCTTTTTTATGTAGGCTACGGAAATCGTGCTTTCTTTCTCCCGTTCTCTCTCACAGACGCACACACACGCACTCGCGCACACATGCGGAGACGTGAACAGAAACTTCTTGTCAGCGCTGCCCCGCGAATTTATCAATAAAATAGTTTCACAGCTGAAAAGCTACATGACATTTCTCAGTTGTGAGGTTCTTGAAGCAGTTTAACTTAAAGATTCGCTATTTAGATGCTGCTGCTAAACGCTGCTGAGAGATGCACACACGCTAGTATTCACACGCGCTTAATCGCTCTCTCTCCCGCTCCCTCTTTCACTCTCTCTCTCTCTAATAACTGCGTTAGACTGCATTAATAACTGCATTAGCCTGCATATCAATGGCTCAAGCCTCCGTTATTAGCTCTAAAATGACGTTTTGGAATCTGCAACGGAAGGTTTGGGATAAGGTGCGTAAAAAATTAGTTCAACACACGAGATTTCAGAACGGAAACATGTCAAATGTCTTGAAACAAATCATCTGAACAATGTTTTGATGTGTGGTTGTGACTCCAGGCCGTTAAAATTATTAGAGAAATAATGCACTCCCGAAGTGGTTATGTGGCCACGACGCCGCACCTATATGGAACGGTCTTTCTCAGTTCTCTAACAAATTAAGAACTACATTCGATTTTTATTGACTGAACGCAAGTGCTTATTCCGATAGAAAACACTGTATCGGTTTCCACTGATTAAGAAATATTTTTGTTTGCTTGGGTGGTAATATTAGGTTTATTATATTAATAGGGAAGGGGGCCCTAACATATTAATAGGGAAGGGGGGCCCAAAAATTTGTTTTAAGAGGTAAATCCGGCCCTGCTGGTCAGTGTAAACATTCTGACATGATTTGAGACTGCAGATGATAAGAATGTGAAACCTCATTAAACTGAGTATTCTGGTTGAAACAAAAAGTTTAGCTTGGAAAAACACATCACAGGATTGAGGTCCAAGCCAAGCTGTTATGTTCCAGCATTGTTCTGCATTGTTTGAACACTTACCACTGAGAGGAAAGTTGCAAGTTGATTGGATCTGATTGCAAGTTATACATCCTAGGTTGTTGTTGTTTTGTCTGGCTTGAATATGTGTTGTGGTGTGTAAAACACAAAGCTCTGTGCCGAAGTTCCAATATTTATGATAATTGCCATCTAAAACATATCATGTCACTCTGTTGTACAGGAAAGCATGTTTCGTGTGAAATGTAAAAGGTAAAACCCCTGCAAGATCCAAACAAACAGCTTAGTTGAATTTTTTTTTTAATTGAATTTTAAAAATAGAATGCTGTTTCATTACTTTATTACTTTTGCAGCCAACCATCACAGAACACAACCCACACTTACTGTAGGAAGGCAGCAGGAAAAAAACACGTCATGTTTACCATAGCAATTAAATTACCTGATAAACATTTACCAAGATAAAATGGGCTCAGATTCACCCCTATGTTAATGACACATAAGAAACTGAACTGAATGATATGATCTGTGGTGATTAAAACTAAAATATTTAACTGAAAACACAATCAGAATGTAATGCACAAGGAAGTCAGAATATTGTTAAAAACAAAGACAAATCCAGACCTCAGTCTCCAAAGCACCCTGACTACATTTCTTTACAGTTTGTCAGTCTGTTCTGTAAACAGTGATCTAGTCACTTCAGTTGTTTGGGACTAAACAATTTCAGTTGGCCTGGTTAATACTGACATAGTTTCCACATATGCCAAGCCGTCAGATCACTGTGCCATCCCCTGAGGGAGGAATGCAATGCTAAGTTGCTTCTATTTCCTGTCATTAGATAATTGATACAATGTTCTGAACAAATTAATGTAGAACCTAGAATCCTAGATAGCACTGTAATAAGATGGAGCACATTATTTTAAAATAAATCAATCTAATAGCTTAATTCTCTCTTGAGAAACATTAGAAGTATTTATTATGCAAACGTCTTAAGGAATGTTATTACAGATTGCCTAATCCATAGGTCATTTTGATCTTGTATAAAGAGTAATATTCTGAATTTAAATACATTTCTAACTATTTATTTCTAGAAAACATATGTGGACCTTTTCTATTATTTTTGTAGACAAGGTCAGTTTAAATATCACTATTTCCCATCATAAACCTGTGGTTAAAATGTTCTGTCCTATCAAACATTGGCTGATTGATCAGAGAGCATAATTTGCTGTTAGTCTGAATGGGTAAAAATGGCATTGAGCCGTTACAAACTTGTGTAGTGAAGAAAATAGTTTGAATGGAAATGACAGCAGAACTGTGATATGAAACATGAAAAACAAAATTCAAATCTTGAATCAATTAAATATATGTAGAGTGTCATCATTCTTAACTGTAGTACATTTTTGTAGATTAATAAATCCACACTTGCATTTTATTTTTTGTATTTAAACTGGTATTTTATTTTATATTAAAAAACAGTTGTCTAAATAAATGTAGAAAGCATTATAGATAACAATATTATTATTTCAATTTCTTTTATTATTTCCGAACCACCAAACAATCAGATATTGTTTTAAATAACCAGATATTGTATCAGCCCACAGATTCAGTTTTTGCGGTTACCAACTAAAAGGTCTGGTGGACTGATTGGACAACAAATATGTTGCTTTGGTCTACTGAACAATCAGTTATCAGACACATTTACTTTTAGTACCGTTATTATAGGGACATGTGTCATGCCCACAGGGACAATTGTGGTTAAACATACAGCATTTCAGCCCTTTGGTATTAGCTTATTACCATTCAGTTATTTAAAAGTGATACACATAGTTATTTGCAAAAATCCTGGGTTTCTTGAAATTGAATCTAAATGACTTTATACTGTGTTCTTTTCTTAGGAACAAGAGGACCCCAACAAGCTAGCTACCAGCTGGCCTGATTACTATATAGACCGCATCAACTCCATGGCAGCTGTAAGTACTTCCGTTATTACCTTTACATTTCTAACATACACTTGTGCACCTTTTGTGATAAAATCTGATTTTGACACCAATTAATTTGGAGGAAAAACTAATGCTGAATAAAAACTGACCAAAAAGATATGCAAGCCCACAAGTTATCAATATGAATCTGTGTTGATTTTTTTTTTTTTTAATTATCATCTGAGACTAGTAGGCAAAATATTTTAGCGATATTTTTCCAGTCTATTCATGCTAGCAAAATCTAATTCATGCACATTGTCGGTGATAGACTGCCAAAATGTAATTGGAATTTACTGTGCTCTAGTACATCATGTTTGTGCATCATTATTGTCATCTTAAATGCTATAGCAAACAAGGCCTTGATAGAGAGATATGAGAGATGTGGTGAAACATAATAGCTGTTATAATATCCTATTATGCTTTTTTTTACATTTTCAACTTCCTATTTTGCATTATGGTGCTGTTTGTGCATGAAAAAGATCTGCAAAGATACAAAGCACAAAGTCCACTCCAAAGGGAGTTCATTTCCATATCAGTAAGCACTCTTTCTGAACTCCCTCAAATGCTTTGATTGCATTCCTGAGTTTTCTTCCAGGAACGTACACATTACAAATAATTCCTGCCCAAGGCATATGCAATCAATCAGTCAGTCAGTCAGTCAATCAATCAGTCAATCAGTCAGTCAGTCAGTCAGTCAGCCAGCCAGCCAGCCAGCCAGTCAGTCAGTCAATCAATCTTTTTTTTTATAATAAATAAAAAGAAAAACAAGTAGATAGAATAGAAACAGAATAGAGAATGCTAGTGTCAGAGGCTCTCTCTCTCTCTTTTTTTAAGAAGACAAGTAGTAAGAATAGAAATAGAATAGAGAGTGCGAGTGTTAGAGGGTCAAATGAAGATGGATGAGATGTGTTTTTAGCCGTTTCTTGAAGATGGCTAAGGACTCAGCTGCTCGGATTGAGTTGGGCGGGTCATTCCACCTGGAGGGAACAGTTAATGTAAAAGTCTGTGAAAGTGATGTTGTACCTCTTTGGGATGGCACTATTCACTTGCAGAACAAAAGCTTCTAGAGGGCACATAATTCTGAAGTAGTGCATTTAGATAAAGGGGTGCAGAGCCAATGGTGTTTTTGTAGGCAAACATCAATGCCTTGAATGTTATGCGAGCAGTATTGGTAGCCAATGCAAATTGATGAACAGAGGTGTGACATGCATTCTTTTTGCCTCGTTAAAGACTAATCTTGCAGCCGCATTCTAGATTTGTTGTAGAGGTTTGATAGAATTGGCTGGAAGTCCTGCTAAGAGAGCATTACAATAGACCAGTCTGGATAAAACAAGAGCTTGAACAAGGAGTTGTGTAACATGTTCCAAAAGAAAGGGCCTGATCTTTCTAATGTTAAAGCAAATCTGCAGGACCGGGCAGTTTTAGTAATGTTGTCTGAGAAATTCAGTGAAAGTGACGTGACATGTGGCCAAGTATGGTGACCCATACTTGGAATTAGTGCTCTGCATTTATCCCATCCAAAGTGCACACACACAGCAGTGAACACACACACCGTGAACACACACCCGGAGCAGTGGGCAGCCATTTTTTTTGCTGCGGCGCCCGGGGAGCAGTTGGGGGTTCGGTGCCTTGCTCAAGGGCACCTCAGTCGTGGTATTGAAGGTGGGAGAGAGCGCTGTACATTTGATGATAATCAAAAACGATCAGTTGTTTTACTTGTTGCGTGAGCTGTTAAGGCATTTTGCATTATGGTATTAATATTGCATTATGACACTCTTCTGGAAAAGGGGGCTGGGAGCAGTTGAATTTAAAGAGACACATGAAAACAGCATGTTTTTGCTTCCACCCGTAAAGGGGCATTTACAGCATGGTATAATAAAAAAGCAGTTAGAAAGCAAAATAGCCCAAAATCTCAAAATTGACCATTAGAATGGACATGGTTTGAAGCTTTTCTGAAGCATATCTGACCTGCCATGATCAGTTTTATTGTCTAAAACCAGAATAAAAGATTGACAAAAATCACCTGTATTTCAGATGCAGACACTATTTGCTTTTGATGAAGATGAAATGGAGATGAGAAACAAGGTGGTAGAGGATCTAAAGACAGCCCTCCGGACTCAACCAATGAGGTAAGAGAACTTAATTCTTGACATTATATTGGTTCATAATTCTGATCTCCAGTTCAAGGAGTCATGAGTGAATACCTAGATTTAAAAGAGCGTTTGAAAGGGAACTCGTGCTGCATCCCCTAGAGGGTGCTATGGGGGAATGCCTCCGGTCTGAAGCATGAGTCTAAACACGACAATGACCTTGACATTGGCAGGCGGCAGCCTTTGACGTCACAACTGGTGTGGCCGAGAGTATAAAAGGGCACCTGTGAAGTACGTGATACGGTTTTCGTGATACGGTCGCAGTACTTGGTTTCACCCGGGCTTGACTCCCTCTTGAGGGATGAGAGTTGTGCGCCTGCGATTGTGTCCCGCAACTGCCATTACGGTGAGGTGGGATTAAGTGCAGCGGTTATTGGCAGAGCACTGTCAAGTCAAAAAGGAAGTTTTCCTTTTTTGGCTCCTTTTGTTTACTCAAATATAATTATTGTTCTTTTTGTCTTTTCTAAAATCCATATTTATGGTAAGAGCATGCGCTGATAGCTTCGTGCCTTCTTTAAATCTATTTTATGGTAAGAGCATGCACTGGTAGCTTCATGCATTCTCAACAATCCATGTTATGGTAAGAGCACGCGCTGACTGCTTCGTGCCTTCTCTAAAATCCATGTTTATGGTAAGGGCCAGGTGCTTCGTGACCTTTCTATCTGTGTTTTACCAGAGCAGGTTTGCCAAGTTGACTAGGCTCTCTGTGAGCCTCCTTGGATAGTTCAAGCATTGTTAGGCCTCCTCTTGGATACTGCAAGCATTGTTAGGCCTCCACTTGATAACATCTGTGAGTTGTAGGCTCTCTGTCCTTACAAGACATCCTGAGTGTGGGGTGTAGTTAGGCCTCCTCTCGTTATTAGAGAGTCGTCATGCTGAGGCCTTCACTCCTAGAGCTTCGCTATCTACTGTGAGCATCGCCAGGCCTCCTCTCACTACATAGTTATCTACATTGAGGCCTCTGCTCACGAGAGCTCCACTAAGGACAGCATCTGTGAGTTGTAGGCTCTCTGTGAGCCTCCTTACAGGATGTCCTGAGCGTGGGTTGTAGTTAGGCCTCCTCTTGTTTTAGAGAGTCATCATGCTGAGGCCTCCACTCCTAGAGCTCAGCCATCTACTGCAAGCGCCATCAGGCCTCCTCTCGCTACAGAAAGTTATCTTCATTGAGGCCTCTGCTCACGAGAGCTCTGCTAGGACAGCATCTGTGAGTTGTAGGCTCTCTGTAAGCCTCCTTACAAGATGTCCTGAGCATGGGGCGTAGTTAGGCCTCCTCTAGTTTTAAAGTGTCGTCATGCTGAAACGTGCTGACTGCTTTGTGCCTTTTCTGAAATCCATGCTTATGGCAAGGGCACATGCTGACTGCTTCGTGCCTTTTCTGAAATCCATGCTTATGGTAAGGGCCAGTGGTGGACGAAGTACACAAATCAAGTACTTGAGTAAAAGTACAGATACGTATAATAAAATATTAGGGCACATGCCAGGTGCTTTGTGACCTTTCTATCTGTGTTAGACCCCAGTTTGCTCTTAACCAGAGCAGGTTTGCCAAGTTGACTAGGCTCTCTGTGAGCCTCCTTAAATAATGCAAGCATTGTTAGGCCTCCTCTTGTTGAGGCCTCCGCTCCCCAGAGCTCCGTTCAAAGAGTAATGGTGAATAGTAGGCTCCTTGTGAGCCTCCTGACAAGATATCCTGAGTGTGGGGTGATGTTAGCTCTCCTCTCAATTTGCAGAGTCATTCTTACTGAGGCCTCCACTCTTAGAGCTCAGCTAGGCGGTAGGGTAGTATGCTAAGTTGTTAGGCTCTCTGGGAGCCTCCTTGGCTACAGACCTTAGTGTGGAGTGTTGCTAGGTCGCCTCTCATTTAAGTGGTGTTGTATTTAGGCCTCCTCTCTGCAGAGCTTCGCAGGCCAGTTAGATCTGAGTCCTCCGTTCTTGAGAAACTCTGGTCTATGATCATGTTACTGGTGCAGGGTTGAGGACTCCTTTGAGTCTTTGACTTAGCTCAGCCAATAAGGCACTCATCCCTTCAGCATGGTGGCGTGGGTATACAGTTCCCCATAGCACCCTCTAGGGGATGCAATATGAGTTCCCTTTTGAAAGGGAACATCTCAGGTTATGCATGTAACCATGGTTCCCTAAGAATAGGGAACGAGACACTGCGTCCCTTTGCCATGCTTCAGGCATTCCTGCGTACATCTCAATCAGACAAGAAGTGGATCTGACAAATGTGTGTGGAGAGGACCAGCCTGCCACATCACACACTTGCTGCAAGGGGAAACCTCTTGCCAAAGCCATAGAAGATGCAACCCCCCCTGGTTGAATGGGCCCTTACTCCTAGAGGCGAAGCTTGACCACGCGCCTCGTAGGCTAGGGCAATAGCATCGCTCACCTAATGTGACATTGTTTGCTTAGTGGCAGCCGCCCCCCCGGTTGCGGCCCCCATAGCATATGAAAAGCTGCTCCGACTTACGCCACTGGCTAGTGCGGTGGACATAAATCTGAAGAGCACGTACTGGACACAGTAAGTGAAGTCTTTCTTGCTCCGGTGTCATGAACGGCGGAGGGCAGAAGGCTTCAAGAACGACCGGATGTATGGTCGAGAATGGAACTTTCGGAAGATAATTAGGGTGAGGATGCAAAATAGCTTTGACCAGCCCAGGGGCAAAGTCTAGGCAGGATGGCAAGACTGACAGAGTCTGCAAATCCCCAAAACTCTTTTTAGAGAAGTAATAGCCATTAGAAAAACCATCTTTAGGGTCAGAAACCTGACAGGCGCTGACTCTAGTGGTTCGAAAGGGGTGTTAACCAGACCCTCGAGCACAATAGCTAAGTCCCACGAAGGTACTGTCGCTCTAGTGGGCGGCCTCAACCGCTTGGCTCCATGAATGAAGCGGGCTACTAGAGGGTGCTTTCCCACAAAAACCCCATCAATCAGAGCATGGCAAGCCGAAATAGGGGCCACATAGGTTCTGAGAGTTCCAGGACATGTGCCTGAGGACAGTTTCTCTTGCAGAAACTCCAGCACTGAAACAATTTGGCAGTGAACTGGGTCTGCATGGTGTGTCATACACCAACTTTCGAAAACACGCCATCTGAGGCCATAACGTCTTCCAGGGGAGAGAGCCCTAGCACTTAGAATAATCTCTACTACTTCGGCTGGAAGCCCAGCATCACTTAGTTGGTCCCCCTCAGGGGCCAGACATGGCCTCCCACCTCCCTCCCTCCCACCGGGTTCCATATCTCGGGCCGGGGATGAAACACTGTCCCCTGTGCCTGAGAGAGAAGATCCCTCCTGACCGTAATCGCCCACGGCTAGCCGTCGAGGAGGGATATTAGATCTGAGAACCACACAATGGTCGGCCAATGGGGCGCTATCATTAAGAAGTGAAACCCTTGTTGATGGACCTTGGCCAGGACTCCCGGGAGCAGAGCGATCGGGGGGAAATGCGTAAAGACGCAGTCTGGGCCATTTATGGGCCATCGCGTCCAGACCCAGGGGAACTGGGGGAGTCAGAGAGAAGTAGAAGGGACATTGTGCTGTCTCCTGTGAAGCAAAGAAGTCCACCTTTGCTTTGTAAAATCTTTCCCAGATTTGACTGACTACTTCGGGGTGGAGTTTCCATTCCCCGTGTGTCACAGCTTGTCTGGACAACAAGTCTGCTCCCACATTCAAATGCACGGGGATGTAAATCACCCTGAGAAACAGGAACTTGTCCTGTGCCCAAAGCAGAACCTGCTAGACTAGCCTGTTCAGGCGGCTCGAACGCAGTCCGCCCTGGCGATTTATGTAAGAAACTACCGCAGTGTTGTCCACCCACACTAGGACATGATAGCCTCTTAACTACTGGAGGAAATATTTCAGGGCCTGAAATAGAGACATCATTTCGAGGCAATTGATGTGCGAGTCAAGAAGATGACCTCTCCAGATCCCTTGAGCTGGACGACCATCTAAGACCGCACCCCAACCCGTGAGGGAAGCATCTGTCGTTAGCATCTTGCGATGACAACACGTGCCTAGAGTGGGACCCAAAGTCAGAAACCGGAGTCTGAACCACATAGATAGGGTACGAAGCCCCTGGCACTTAACCCCTATTTGCCTCTGGGGATTGGCCCTTGGATGAAAACCCTTGGCTCCTGAGACTGAGCCAAAATCAGCCAGTCGTCTGTGTAATTTAAAATGCGGATGCCCTGGAGTCGTAGAGGAGCCAGAGCTGCATCCATGCATTTGTGTATGTGTGGGGTGACAAGACTTGGCCGAATGGAAGAACCCTATACTGTTAAGCTTCGACCCCGAAAGCGAAACTCTAGAAATTCCTGTGTTGTGGCAAGATCTCTATGTGAAAATATGCATCCTTGAGATCGATCGTCACGAACCAATTGCCAGATTGGATCTGAGACACAATCATCCTGATTGTCAACATTTTGAACTTGTATGTTCTGAGGTAGCGGTTCATCTTGCGAAGATCTAAAATTGGACGCAACCCCACATCTTTCTTGGGAACCAGAAAATACCGCCTGTAATAGCCTGACACTCTGTCTGGCAGGGGAACACGTTCTATGGCCCCTTTGTCCAGCAGAGCTTGCAATTCCTGTGTCAACAAATGCGCTTGTTCTGGTTTCACGGAAGTGGAGACCACACCATTGAAACGCAGAAGACGATATGCAAACTGAATCCTGTAGCCTTTCCCTACAGTCCTTTCTACCCATGGAGAGATATTTGGCAGTAGCTTCCGTGCTGGCAGTTTCTCTGAAAGGGGCACTAGTTTTGACACTTCGCTTTGTTTGGGGGATGTTAGATGTCCGGCATTCCGGAACGTGGCAGGAGGCAACCGAACACATAACATTTCGCTGGAGGCTGCTGCTCCCTGAAACACCAGTGGCGGCGGAGATTGTATAGCGGCCCCCTGAGGGTGCCAGGAAGGAGCCTCTACTCTCTGTTGAAACCCCCACGGTCCCAGGCGCTCGACCCTCAGGACTTCTTC